GAACTTACCCCCTGGGTGTCTTCTCAAGCCTCAAAGTCTATGTTACAAAATTTCCCCAATGCCTAGAACACTAACATGTCATTGATTTGCAGTGTTTGGGGCCTGGTATGCATACCTTCCTTTCTCGGTATCTTCTTTCTCTCTCTTCATCTCCTCTTTCAGAGTTCTCATCTCTCCTCTCATTCTCGTCAGTTCTTACTTTACTTACTATAAAAAGAAAACATACTTTTATTGTTTGTTTTTTTTGTTGTTAATCTTCACCAGAGGACATTTTTCTATTGATTTTTTTAGAGAGAGTGGAATCGAGAGGGAGAGACAGAGAGAGGAGCATCAATGTCGATTGGTTGCCTCCCGCATGCGTCCCAACCAGGGCCAGGGATTGAGCCTGCAACCGAGGTACGTGCCCTTGACTGGAATCAAACCCAGAACCCTTCAATCCACAGGCCGACGCTCTATCCACTGAGCCAAACTGGCGAGGGCAAGAAAACATACTTTTAACATTCCCAAACTTCAGACATCTTGCTGCAGTCTTTGTAAATACTGCATTACAAAATTATGTATTAACACATGAAAACATATTCTTCTATTAGACCACATTCTACAATCTCAAGAATGGAAAGTCCTGGAATCTAAACTAAAAATGAATCTCAGAGAGACAACAGGGGTGGGTGGGTGGCTAGGAAGAGATTAACCAAAGACCTTGTATGCACATGTGCATAACCCCTGGGCACAGACAATAGTGCAGGGAAGGCCTGGAGTGAGGGGTGGGGGTGGGCTACAAGCGGTCAATGGGGAAAAAAGGGGGATATCTGTAATACTTTCAACAATAAAGGTAAATTAAAAATTAAAAAATCATATACAAAAATGGAATAAAGGAGATGACAGTGGCACCTGCTAAGGAGGCAACCTGGCAGGTGCAGCCTAGGTGCTGGAACTCAGAGGCACCAGCCCAACGCACGCACCTTCGAGCCCTGTGTCGCCAACAGAGGTGCTGGGGCAGCACAGCGTCCAGAAAAACAACCCGCTGGGCAGACATTCCCGCCAAGTGCTCAGCTGCAAGTCACTGCGACCTCTGGACGAGCGGTCCAGAGACCAGCAGAGCCACACACACCCAGTGACAATACACACAGCTCCCTCCAATAATGAAAAACTAGACTTTCACATTTAAATCTGCCAAGACAAAAGTCATTAGGCTTAAAATGAAGAGAATCAACATTTTCAAAGATAAGGACAAAATTAAACATTCGGACAAACTGTTAAATATTGCTTAAAATAAAACTGATACTTCTGAGAAATTCTTTTACCAAAGAGCATAATGTTTGTTTATCTACAATGTGGATTGAGATTTACGAAGATAATTAATCGGGAATGTTTCAATAGTAAAACTCTAGCACATGAGAAAATCGTTACTCCTTTCATTCACTGAAATGAGTTCTAAAATA